AAAAAAAAAGTGAAAAAAAAATTAAGTCCCCCCCCCCAAATTTAAAGTTACACCATAAAAAAGAATAAAAAAACAAAAAAAAAATGTTTAAGTCCCCACCCATACATACACACATGCAAACATGCGTCGGGGGCGCATACGTGCAAAAAAGACGATTGCGCCCATTACGCCGCACATGTTACATATCGCCGCGAACGTCGGAGGGAGAGCAATAATTGTAGGGCCATCAATCACTGATAACACTAAACTGATATGCGGTAAAAGCTTTTAAAGCGTCGCCCATGGCCAATTTTGGGTACGGTAATTTTCTGCGATTTCGCGGGTGCGCGCAATTTTAAAGCTTGACATGTTTGGTGTCTATTTACCCGACGTGACCCGATCTTTTATATTTTACCAAAAAACTGGGTAATAATAAATGTTTCCTAACATAATGTTAAAAAAAACTTTTTTTTCCCCAAATTTTCTGTAATTTTTCCTAATTATAGTAAAAAATAAAAACCCCAGTTGTGATTAAATACCACCGAAATAAAGCTCTATCTGTCCCCAAAAAATGGTATAAAATTCATTTCAGTACAGCGCTGCATGACGGAATAAACGTCAGTCAAAGTACCGCAGCGCTGAATACTGAAAAATGGCCTGGCCAGGAAGGGGGTCTAAACACCTGGTCTTGAAGTGGTTAAAGTGGATTTTGAAACTATCAAAAAATAAAACAGCGCACATAGGCAGGGAAAGCTACAAAACAGTACAAAAAGGGTCCCCAGCATACTTTCAAGCTAGCTAGAAAAGCAAAAAAATTAATTAATCTGTTTAATTGCTCAGGTTAAAAAGAGAGGTATTATTTGCATACATTTGCAAATATATGTGGAAACCATACTGCCATATCAAGGCACCTCTGATGAGCATGTTCCTTAACTAAACACTACACATCTCTCAACTTTGAGACATATACACCAATGCACAAACAGAGAGCACATGGAGGCAGCTCTATCCTCTTCAAAGCTTTTTTCCAGGGAAACATAAAACCTTCCCTTTGCAGTGGGGCTACCCCACATTACAAGGGTCAGTCAATGCTCACAGTCAGTCAATGCTCACCTTGTCTCTCCTGTGCTCTGGCTTGCGGACTGCAGGGCTATGTATCCTTCATTAAACATGATGACATCAATAGGCCTCTGAGCGCCAGGGCTCAGGGGGGAGGAGTCTATGGGTGCCAGTATTGGAGCCAGCAGGAGCTGGAATCAGTTAAATAAAACTGCTTTAAACCATGCCTCTAGATAAAAACGAACAGTGAAACTTTGCAGTGCAGGGGTAGCCCTACTGTGAGGGGGGTTGTTTCCCCAGAGCTAGGCAGCAACACACCAAAAGCCCGGGCATTGCCTTCAGGCAGCTTCCAGTGTGTGACTGCACATGCACTTTTCTGCGGTATGGATACTTGGCTGTAAAGCTTGGTAATTGTTCAATGTTCTTTGTAAAGAAGTAAATATATTTATTGTGTTTCTATATTTGTTTTTTTTTCAGGTTGGCATTCTGTGCATGGATTCTCAGCAACGTCCTTTTCTGTATTCCAGTCCCTCTATATGGAATTTGTATGATGTTTGCAACTGCAGTGTGTATAATATTCTCACTGGTATCATTTGCAACAGTTAGACAAGTACCTATATGCAACATCCATTTTGGAACTTCTATTCTGCGGACAAGATTTGGATTTTCTTTTTGGATGAGTTTTGCCACAGGTAAATTGCTTACGTATGAATTATTGTTTAACCCTAACTCCAGACAGATATATATAGGATCAGTTAATGCAGCGATGTATTCACTAAAACAATTACAGAATGTATTTAGTTTGTATACCATAGTTTGTGTACCGTAATTTGTCTTGATACCAACCACTGCCATTCCATTTACGGCACCGGTCTTCTAGAAGAAGTAGGACTAGAAGCCAAACAGGTTCTGCTGCAGTGCACATGTGCCAGCAATGAAGAAGGTGATTGGAAGAAAGAGCAGAAAGGTCACTCATACATGTTATGCTCCTCCTTAAATGTCTAATGAGAAGGCTGAGGGTGTGTTTTTGCTCAAGCTGTGCTGATATTGCAATGAAGATGAACGACCTGTGTAGCATTTACTTACCTTTCCCGCTCCAGCAGAGCAACTCTTTGGACTCGTGGTGGCTCTCGCTTCCAAGTTTTATCCTGCTTATCACTCCAATGGCCAACCTGGCTCAACCATCCCCCCCAGCCGAGTCCTTAAAGGGCTTGCATACACGTTGCACAGATTCTTATGGAACATTTGTGCAAGTGATGTTTAGCCCTTTCAAGCCCTGTGAAGCCTCCTGTGTGATGAGAAGAGTCATTCACCTAATGTTATCATGTAACCCAGACACATACTTTCTTGGTTTAAAGTCGTTGTAACAACAGTGTTAAAAGTTAAAATATATTGGTGTTATATCTTGTGCAGTGTAAGGCCCCGTTCACACTGAGCGATATTGCTCATATTTCCACGCAATATCGCTCTATGTAGCTTCTCCAATCCATTTCAATGGAGCTGTTCACATCTCGTCGCTCAATATCGCTTGTAGCTCGTCGCTGGTAGCTTGTCGCTCCTACATGACCCTTTTTTCAAGCGATTTCGAGCGATATTGCTCCTGATTGCATACAGCCCAATAGGAAAAAGTCTTCAGTTCAGCCAACTATTCACAATAGCCCGTACAGCAACCAAAGGCAGCCGAAGTACACAGTCAAGTCGAAAGTATATGCTTCGGCTTGGCACAGCTGAAAACACATCAGATGTGGCAAGAACAGTCTGCCGAAGCGGGACTGACTCACCACTAGTTTTTTTCATATTTGCAGTTCCCCCTCCCAATTCCCCCCCTAAAATTCCATACCAGACCCTTAATCTGAGCATTGGCCTGACAGGGCAGGAAAGGGGGGCTGAGCGAGCGCCCCCCCCCCCCCCCGGCACCATACCAGGCCACATGCCCTCAGCATTTCCCTGGAAAAGCACCTTGTTCCCATGCCAATGAGGACAAGGGCCTCTTCCTCGTCTTCCTCGCAAACCCTGGCCCAGTGGTTGTGGGGGTCTGCAGGGAGGGGGGGTCATCTGCATCTGGTTACTCACCTTCATAAAGGGGCCCCCCCTTGTGATTGAGTAAGGGGTAGTTGTTACCCCTACTCATTCACCAAAGGGTTAAGTAAAATGTAATGAAATAGACAACACCTTAGAAAAAATCCTTTAATTTAACAAAAAACACAAAGAAGGTTTTTTACAATTCCTTTATTGTAAAATTTTTGATGATGTAATCCATGGTCATTCACATACAAATGATGTCATCCAGCGTCAAAAAAAGTCCCGACATCCGCGCACCTGTCCGCTCCCGATGAACTCCTGCTGCTAAATGACCGATTTCACAGCTCTTGCCCAAATGTGAAAAAATGGATGGAGCTAGTCCCATGACGTCATGTGACTCGCACTGCCCATTTGTTTTCATACCATTTTGGGTCAGTGAGCTATCATGGTATGAAAACAAAGGGGCTGATATTGTGTAAGGTCAATTTACATGGCTGTTTTTCTTTCTCCGTTTTAGGTTTGCTTTGCCTTTTTATTAGCATTGTTCTCTTGACAGTACACATCATGAGGCCAGCCATCGTTCGCCGTTTATTCAACAGTAAAGATAACGAGGACGTTTTCTCCAAGACTGAAAGTGAAGATGGTGATGCTGTGAGTGACAATGAAGAAGTTACTGTGACCGAGTTATAATGACTCAACTGCTTTCTAGAACTTACAAATCAAGTTGATGGTCTTATTTTGGTTTATAATTTGAGATTCTCAGTATTTCAGTGTTGAGACAATTCAGAATATATTTCTGAACAACAGAGACGTTTTTTTTTTCCTTTGAATTATATTGGAAGCCAGTGGTCTACTTAAAGAGGTAGCAGAAGTAGCAAGCACTACTGAGTTCACAGACCATTTGGGCTCAGCTTAGACACTTATTGATCAATAATTGTCTCTTCAACTCTAACAGTATTTATAGAAGCATCAAAATAATTTTCTATGCTCATAGATTAGTTGTATTGTGTGAGATATTTTCATGTATGGTAGTTGTCTTTGAAAACTAACAGTTGTTTTTGGCTCTGGTTCAAATTCAGAGTTACCCTTCTTTTAAAGGATAGCTGTATAAATTAAAAACAATCCTTCATGATGCCGCCCTGCACTGAACTGCTTACAGTTCAGTAATCCTACTAAATTACTGTGCGACCTGTGTACAATGTTTATTTTTTTTAGCCTCTCCATCTATTGAACACTCCTTATGGGGATAAGAATAGCTATCCTTTAAATAATTAGTATATTCTAGATGACTATGTGCTAGGCCAATTATGTCATTTCAAATGCAAATGTTTTATCTGTATTTCCTTGTTTGACGAGGTATTTCCTTGTCTTACTTTTTGCTTTTATAGGTTGACATTATGATTTTTAAAGTGATTTATTCAATCTGATAATATGCCAATAAAGGACAGGTGACAGAACGATTAATTAAAGTGTATTTATAGCCAAAACCTTTTTTAGTTTTGGATAGAGTAGGAAGGGTTAAACTCCCTGCCAGTTTAATGTTTGCAGTCTCATAACCATTGTAGACATTTTCTTTCTTTTCCTGACCCGTACATGCATTTCAAGGAAATTTCTAATAGTGATGGGAATTCCCCATTTTTATTGAAAAAGTTGTCCCTGCTTGAATATTTCCCCTTAGTCCTCGTTTTGGGACAACTCTACATTTTTGGATTTCTCCTCACTTTCTTTGAAGGATAACGATCACCAGGACAAATAGTTGGGTGAATCTTGCCAACAGGGACACAGACAGCATTAAACTTGCCAAGGAGTCTAACGCTTCCCCACTCTAAACGAAACTAAAAAAAAAAGTTTTGCCTTAAACTTACACTATAAGTTCAGGGCTTTTGAGAATGACAATAAAGTCTCTCAATGATTAGTAAATTAACAATGACAAATGAACATATTGATCAGAATACATTGGTTTCTGTCTAGTGTTTTGTTATGTGATTAACAAATAAGCATAACTATTCCAGGTGGCATCATCAGGCCAAGATAACCGTAGCTACCAGGTGACATCATGCCTGGCTCCGCCCAGTTGTTTACATTTGCGGGAAGAACAGTCTGCTTCAGCAGATTGTTCTCCTCGCTTCGGCTGTGACTTCAGCTCAGCCGAGCCGAAGCATATGCGTTCGGCTCGGCTGAGACCTTCGGCTGCCTTCAGACGCTGTATGGGCTATTGTGAATAGCCTGTACAGCAGCCCTTCAGTTCGGCTGAACCAGAGGTCTCCGGCAGCCGAAGTGAGCTGAAGGATTAGACAATGCTTTGGCTTAATCCTTCGGCTCCTTCATGAATAACCCTCTATGTTTTCTGCTTTCAGAATAACAGTTTTGCTTTACAAAGCTATGGCAAAAGGAACACAGTTTTACATTGGTCAAATGGGAGACCTTATTATTGGATTATTTCCCTGATTGCCACCCTTTCATTCTGATATCTGGATTAACGTTGAGCCCCTGCCAGCATATTAATTGTAGATGGGAAATTTATCGATCTTTCGCTTTCGGTACTCGTAGATATCGAGTGCCAATACCGGTGCTTCCGCTGGCATGGAGCCGGCTTCCTAGGCAATCAGGAAGCCGGACAGCAAGTAATGACATGCCGCCTTGCTTCCTGATTGCTCGGGAATCTGGCTCCATGTTGTTTGGCTGGCTTTACCGTGATTGGCCTGGAAACCGGCTTCCCAGCCAATCAACATCAAGCCAGCTTTCCGCCCAATCGGGAAGCTGGGTGGCGAGTAATGACCCACCTCCCAGCTTCCTGATGGGCCGGTAAGCCAGCTTGATGCTGATTGGCCAGGAAGCTGACTTCCCAGCCAATCAGCAAGGAGCCGACTATTCGGCTGGCTTGATGCTGATTGGCCGGGAAGCCAGCTTCCCAGCCAATCAACATGGAGCCAGCCGGGCTCAGGAAGTAAGCCGGGAGGGGGGACTATTTTTTGTATTAGAGGAGATGATACGAGTGATGTTGAGGCCTATTATTTTCATTGACAGAAATAGTGGTGGTTCCCATTCCATTTCATCCCAATTTGAAATAGCTTGCTGACCTACTAGTTATAAGCTTTCTACACTTGCTACACTTTTCCAAGAATTATTATCAGGGAAAGGACATTGCTATCTAAATGCTAATCAAGCAACTAAATGATTCATTGAAGCACAATGGGTCATTAAAATAGATATTAAAAAAGTAAACAAATTACACATATAACATGTTAAAATATTCTAATGCATTAGGGAAAACACCACATCACATAGCGTCATCAAGGGTAGCCAGTAGGCTCTATAGTATTGCACTGTGCCATCAGACCGGTAGATGTTAGTCACCCAAAATCTGTTGTTTTTTTAGACATTCACCATGTTTATGTAGTGAATCACTGACTTTATGAGCAATTCACCATTGCTTCCTATGACATAACAGGCACTCTTGTTAATGCTCATTCATACATACATGGAGAACATTTAATGACATTCACACAATTAGTTTAGACTAAGATTCTTATTTGCATATAATGGGATGTGCCCCTTCTACTCACAACACAACTGACTTGAAACATTTGTTAAAAAATTCTAGGGATGCACCGATACCGGTTTTTCGGTATCGAGTATGAGTATCGATCTTTCGCTTTCGGTACTCGTAGATATCGAGTGCCAATACCGGTGCTTCCGCTGGCATGGAGCCGGCTTCCTAGGCAATCAGGAAGCCGGACAGCAAGTAATGACATGCCGCCTTGCTTCCTGATTGCTCGGGAATCTGGCTCCATGTTGTTTGGCTGGCTTTACCGTGATTGGCCTGGAAACCGGCTTCCCAGCCAATCAACATCAAGCCAGCTTTCCGCCCAATCGGGAAGCTGGGTGGCGAGTAATGACCCACCTCCCAGCTTCCTGATGGGCCGGTAAGCCAGCTTGATGCTGATTGGCCAGGAAGCTGACTTCCCAGCCAATCAGCAAGGAGCCGACTATTCGGCTGGCTTGATGCTGATTGGCCGGGAAGCCAGCTTCCCAGCCAATCAACATGGAGCCAGCCGGGCTCAGGAAGTAAGCCGGGAGGGGGGTCATTACTTGCTGCCCAGGATTCTGATTGCCTGGGAAGCCAGCTCTATGTGTCCCTACCGAAGTTCCAGTATCGGGGAAGGTATTGGAGCATTTAGACGAGTAAGAGTATTCACCCAAAGACTTGCTATAGGCACCAATACCGATGCTAGTATCAGGGCTCAAAATTTCAGGACCTGAGCTACTAGGCAGGTCTTAAAAGTTAATCGCCACCAGTTGCCCTGCCTGACCCCACTCCATCCTATTCTTCTTGTGCACAGATTTACCGAGTGTACCTGGGAACAAACAAATCATTATTTTGCTGGACCAATACCGGGCATAGCACAAACACACACACACAACACAACACGCAGAGCACAACATGCAGGGCATTACACATACGCACATCACAACACGCAGGGCATACGCGCAGCACAACACACAGGGAATGCGCGCAGCACAACACGCAGGGCATACGCGCAGCACAACACGCAGGGCATTACACGCAGCATTACACGCAGGGCATTACACAAACACATTTGCTCATATTAATCATTAGATTTGTGTGTCCAAACTATATAGATCCTGTGGCACAGTAGGGGTTAATCACTGTTCTAACTTCTGCAGAGTTTACTTACAGTGACAGCAGAAAGCTCAGGTTTCTGAGACAAGGCCGGCCGTGTTGCCCAGGGAACACTGACGCTGACACTTTTGAGCCCTGCTAGTATCGTTGCATCCCTAAAAAATTCTGTTCCTTGGTTAAGGACAAACAAAATGGAATTCCTATGTCTTTCTGGTCTGCCTTCTCGAAGTTCAGTAAGCAAGAAGACTTTCAGTAACAAGGTAAAAGAGACAGTGCGCTTTTGAATAAAAAAACAAAAACAAATCCAAGCTACAGGCTCTCTTTATTCATGTTTTTTTGTTTCCTACAAAATAATTTTCACATTTAACAGATGGGCAAACATTTTTAAAAGTTTTCATTAAAACAGTTGAATAATACACTGTCTTTTGATGTGGTGTTGTTATGTTTATCTATAGAAAAGATGTTTTCATGTGGCAATACCCTGGCTTGTCTGGGGAATCCTCTGTTAGTAATAAAGATTGATGTAACAGCATACATAATTATATTTATTCATAGACAGTGATGCTAATGATGGTAACTGGGTGGCTCTAAAATGTAAAAACAGAATGCTTGTAAAGTTAGAATGAAATATTACATGTAAAATTAAGGGCTTGCACTTTTTTCAACCCAGGTCAAATTTAGCAGCGTCAGCATGTGTCGGTTAACTTGAGAATGATTTGTTGACTAACTTGTAAACCAAAATATTTTTATACAATTTTTAAAAACATAGAAGGCTTTTATTTGAGACATGTGTATTTATTATTATAACAACTGCATTAAAATGTAAAAAAAATGTAAAAAAAACACCTTTTATTTGTTTTTGTGTTAATTCATTTATCTTGATTTTTTTTAATACAGTATACTGTAATAAAATTACAGCATTAAATATATGGCATGGCGGCCATATATTTTTTCTCCTTGAAGCCTCCAACCTATGTGTGATCATAGCCAATAGTAAACTAGCATTGCACCCGCCCTCTGCTGATGGACCTGATGGAAAAATGCA